AATTTGCTGACTTTCTTTATAGTACTTGATAGGTTGAATTCTTATATATTATATGATGCTAATTTAGCCTTAATTTTATAATATTTGAATAGATTTAATGTGATTTTATTTGATTTTACATTATTTTCATTATTTGTATAGGATATGATTTAACTTTTAAAAATCATAAATTTAGAACTAAATTACAATGTTTCACAAAGTAAAAGGATGAATAAACGGGTGAAATTGAAGATCAAATTGTGGAATTTTAAAATTGACTAAATTGTAGAAATTTGAAATTTAAGGATTAAAGTGTAAAAATTTTAGAAAAGGTCAACCTCCCTATTTGTACCCATAGACATTATAGTTTTTCGCGGTTAACACTCTTCAAAAGTTTCACTTCCAGTCAACACCTTCTAGAATTTTTGCTTCTAATCAAGACCCTCTAGAATTTAAAACTTGTAAAAATTTAAAATTAATGATCAAGTCACATGCAAGTTAAGGTGCATGCAAATAGGGGGGTTGGTTGTTAACTTTTGAGTTTTTAATAGGTTTCAAATTTTGGGGAGTATTGACCAAAAGTGAAAATTTTGTAAGGTATTGATAGTAAAAACCAATAATGTTTAGTGTGAAAATAGTGGGTTTGGCCATTAGAAAATTAAAGACCAACACTATAGTCTTTCCATTAAGAAAAGAAACAAAATTTCAAAATGTAATTATGTGTCCGGTATAACTTTTTCTTTTTTTTAACCCTTTTATTTGTCCATGTATATAATTGTAACCTTAATACTAGATAATTGGAATGATATATATTAAGCAAAGCTCAATTCAAATCAGATAATAAGAAAGTGTGAATGTAATTAATTAATTAATAAGAAATTAAATCTAACTAATGTTGGATTATAATATTTAATATATGGTAGATTTAATTAAATTACTACTTTTTAAATAGGTGTTTCTTTTAAAAAAAAAGCCCATTGGGTATTTATTGAATTTTTTTTTTAAACCCCACATACACAGTGATGGGGCAAACCTCAACGAGGATGTTGAGTCTCGAAAGGGGAGGTGTATGTGATGCCCCTAGACAAATCCTTTATCAACAAAGCACTAGAGATGTTGGGTATATAAGTCAACATTGGTTATATCCTATTGACACGTTTGAAAGTTGTGAGATGTGAGGGGCCAAAATGAATAGTATCAATAATGGGCTAGGTTGTTACATATAAAATCAGAGCCACTCTGTGTGACCTCTTGAATGGTGGTGGGGCAAATTTCAGTAAGAACGCTAAGTCTCGAAAGGGGGGGTGTATGTGACACCTCTAGGCAAATCCCACACTAACAAAACTTAGGAGAGACACTAGCTATATAAGACAACACTAGTGGGTATACAACTCAACTCCCATTACTCCCTATTAACACATTTTGAAACCGTGAGGCCTAAGGGACTAGTGGACAGTATGGATAGTGAGTCAAGTCTTTACAATTTAATACAATCTTCAAAAAAAGTCTCAAATTTGAAACTTTACCCATAATAGCACGTGAAATAGTATGGTAACAAATCTGTTCATTTGCAATCAGTATCCTTTCAAGCATCTTCGAAATTGGGCAACATCTGTTATGGATTCCATTGGATTTGACACCTTGGATTTGATACCTAATCTTGATATGAAAACACACAATCTTGCTTTTTATATTTTATCCACAAAAAAGACTTTGCCTTCATAGAATCCAGCAATTGGATATTTACTGAAAATTTTTTTAAAGTTTATTGGGTATTTATTGAAAATTTTTTAAAGTTTATTGGGTATTTATTGAAAATTTTTAAAATTTTCATTAAGTATTTATTTGACAATTTTAGAGATAATTTAGTTGTTACAACAATTTTATATATAGTTATTATTATTATTATTGTTATTATTATTAAGATATAATAAAAATTGAATAAATTTCAATTGAGAGATAAATGGTCAATATTTTATATAAGTATAATGTGTAAAACTTATTTGCAAATGAATTATAATTCATTACAAAAATTTTTAAAAAAAATTATAAGAATACAAGATAGCTTTAAGTAGCAATATTCCTCTTTGCTTTATTCTCATCACATCTCAGAGTGGAACAACCAGTCGGACTCTTGAAAGTATTAAGTTTTTGAGCATTTTTTACTGAATGGTAACACCAAATGGCGAACATATATAGCATTTATGTTTTATTAAGAATACAAAGTAGCTTTGATTAAAAGCGAAAAGAAGAATACAAAGGTAGCTTTGATATATTTTATATGTAAAGCATTCTTACGTTGGATTCCATTGGATTAATCTTGAATGGAACTTCTCATTTCAGACCATTCTTCCAGCTGGAGATACTATATAATTTGCCATTTTTTTCCCTGAGTGAATCATGGAGAATATTTCAAGAAAACTTGAATTAAACAAAAGGTACCGCGCCACTTTACTTTGTTAATAACATCGAGTAATTCTTAACACGTGATAATGAGATTTGCAAGAGAACTAGAACAAGTAAACATTTATTAATTCTAAATGGAAAAATTGAACTAGCTATGTTTGTAGGGTGGAGAGATCCTGTTGCATCATAGGATATTTTATTTAAAAAAAAAAAAGATATATTAGAAGATTTTACATCTCGCATATTGAGATATCATCACAGCTTAAATTAATAATACTTCATCATGAGATACAGATATTTTTATATGAATAGAATTTTTAATTCAACAGTTAATTTTTAAAAATATTAATTATAAATTAAGTTTTTAAATATGTTCTCCAAACAAAAATTGAAAGAATGACTTGCTTTACACTAACCCTATTTGATTATAGTGTGTGTGTGCCTTTTTTTTAAAAAAAATAATAATACTAGGCTCTAAAACTGATGTGATAACTTAGATTCTTATGAATTCTAGTATGTTGATTTATACTGGCATGCATGTCTATCCTTGTTTGCTACTCTATTATGATTCCAGGAACAACTTCACCCATTTTCCATTGTTTCAAATGAACTTTCACTTCTTGCTAATAGGTTGCAGGCAATGGTAGTCGTTGAGGTATCTGAACTTCAATTTTTCTTCTGTCTTTTAGTGGAGATTTATTTTACTTTCGTGTGATGAAGGCAAGAGGTTGCTATCAGGTGATGAAAATTGGATATCTATTTCATACTGTTTCTTAAGCTTTCTTCAGCTATTGAGTATTTCTTTAAAGTCGGGGTGGAAGGAAAGAGGTTTTGTCTAATGATTATCATGAATGTAGGATAAAATTGGTGGCTACTTACTTTTGTTGCAGTTTGTAATCGCTTTTTATTAGTAGTCTTTGAATGTAT